TGCATATGAAAATAAAAACAAGTGTGGGTTGACTGGAATAAAGGTACAGCCTGAACAATAGGTCATTTGACTAACAGTGGTGTTTTGCCCATACCTGTTCATTTTCTTTCAATGATGCCATTAGTTCTTCACTGTACATCATTTCATCATCTTCATCAGTGTCATCAGTATCCATGGAAACATCAGTTTCATGGTATGTATTTTCAAAGTCTAATATTTAGAAAAGAGTTCATGTAAGACCTGATAAAGTCGGCTACTTTTACCATGTAAACTGAGCTCCTGAACTCTTTAAAATATCATTACTAAAGACCTGATAGAAGTTGGCTATTCTTACCTTGTAAACTGAGCTCCTTAGCTCTCTTTAGATCTTCATCCTCTTCATTGTTACTATGGTAATCTCTTATACTAGCCTCCATTGCCTTCTGTAAATCTGAATCATTGCCTGCTTGATCTTGATTTGAATAAAAATTTAATTAGATCTAACATAATTTGATCATGATCAAGGTGGTGGAATCAACTATGCATATTATTTTAATTTCACGTACCATTACCTACAATGTAGTTAGTGCATGGCTGCAAAATATTTTGTGCACCTACCATTGTCTACTATGTACAGTTCACCATTTTCATCTTCTGTATATGTCCCACGGCGTACTCTCTTCGCAATTCCATTCGTGACCGTCTCTCCGTTTTCATCTTTGACAGGACTAATTAATTTTGCGTCACTGTGATCCGACTCATCAGTATCAGAGAGAAACTGTCTTTTCAAAGACAAATGACCTTTGACAATATTTTTTTTATGGTCTTTATTTGAAACTGAATCATGATTATTTTGACTGCCACTGCACATCTCTGCAAAAAAAATAGATGGACATCAGTCTAAATAGTTTAGAGTATGGAAGTGAACAAGCAGTGTTTCTAAATGTTTTGAGTCATCAGACTAAGTTCAGACCTTTTGATTAACTTTTGAAGTTCAAATTTTTGTGTATTTAAGACCTGTTTAAGCAACAAACACATAAAACTAATATAAAACAGTATGTCATGCTTTATGACAAGGCAGAATATCTGTTTAAAAACAAACTTCTATCATCGTTTTGACATTAAAAACACCAACCGTTTACACTGGGACATGTAAATGCAGGTTAATTCTTGATGCAATATCCATTTGGACGCTAATGTGATAATGAACAAGATCATGTTTGAATATTTCAAGACAAATTACATCACAAGCGTACGAAATTTAAAAAAATGTTGGTGGGATTTCTAAAATAATGTAGGGAGTTTGTTATTGTTATATTTTTTTATTTGGTTTCAGTTCCAACACTAGTTCGTTCTGAGGAATATTCTTCAACCTACCTTTTTTTACCATGTACAGTGTACCATTTTCGTCTTCCGTGTACGTCTCATGTCGTACTTTACAAACAATTCTATCAGAAGCAGCTTTGCCATTTTCATTTCAGTGTACGTCCCATGTTGTACTTTCTTTTCAACAGGACTAATCAATTTTACATCACAATAATCTGAGTCATCCGTATCAGAAAGAATCGGTCTCTTGAGAGGCACTTGTTCATTTACAATACAAGGTTTTTTATGGTTCGATTCATTTAATACTGAGTCTGTATTTTTATTTTTACCTGCATTCTGCATCTCAAAATTTTCTATTTTCCCAGTAATATTTCTTCTGTCTAGTTCCTTTATTTGGGTCCGCAGGCTGTCATCGTGACTTTCCCTCCCATTTTCAACATGATCTTCCAAGTCATCACAATTGCTTTCATCTTTGATTACTCGGCTGTGAAGATCTGTCAATGAAACCTCATGTGAAGCTTGCTCACTCAGTTTCAAAGTGGCCTTTATTTCATTTTCTTTCATCTCTTCACTGACCAAGCAGTGACTCATCTCCTGTTTGCTTAATTCAAGGACTGCCGCAACTTGTTGTTCTTCTGACAGAGACAATAAACTCGGATTCGCACATTCCTGTTTACTTATCTCCAACACTTTCGCAACCTGTTCGGCTTCAGAAAGTTTTGACAAGTCTTCCGAGTCTTTATTTTCTTCCGTTCTATCAGAATCATCAGATTTCCTTCGCACTCGTTTGAAGTTGAATCTGGATTTGTTGTCTTCAGATCTGTAGAGAATCCACAGATATCATGGATGGATTACCGTATAATACAGGGTTCTCACCAGGAAATAAATATGCGGGCAGAATTGTTCCACCAGTTTAGAAAGTATGAGTATGACCCATGCATGTGGGACTTGAGAAAGAGAAATGAAGTATTTTGTTTCTCTAATAAAGGAGCTACCTACTGTTCATAATTTGCCTGAATTTCTGATACATGTATAGTATCAAATGTTGATGGCAGCAAAAGGGGAAAACGAGAAATAGTGTAACTGTGAAAATACTTTATTTGAGATGGAATTAATTTTCGCTGAAAAGGCTTTTTGGGCGTTTTGTATGGAATTTATTTTCACTGATTTTTAACGAGTTCAATGTGAAATATAGAAAAAAACAGTATATTCGCTGGATTTTATTTTCACGGAATCATCCCTTCAGCGAAAATAGCGAAAATAAATTCCAAGCGAATATACGATCATGTACTTCTTGTGTTAATATTTGCTAAGGAGATTAATTTATGGAAGTTCCTGTGAAAATTGAGAAAAATATTGTTTTGCAGGATTGGCCATTTTTCACTGTTTGTTCTTTCTGTTTTTGATTTTGTCACCGTTAACTTACAAGATAATAATCTTTAAAAGTGATCTTGGAATTGTTTTGTTCCTTCTTAGTTATGGAGATATAGTTTGTCGAACACAAAAGTGTGTATGATGGTGTAATTTGTTACGAGTAGGCCATATTTGATCAAATGAAAAAGCACCAAAACTGACAATAATGCCTATGTATGGTATCAGTATCAAAAAAAGTATTTGGTTAATGCATGAATGAGAAATAACTCTCAGCTACAAACCAAGGACATAAACTAATTAATCTCCAGTTTTGAACTTCCGTTGTTTTGGTTGTTATCTTCCATCTTATCAACATCAACAAAATTCTCACCAACATTTTTAATAATTGACATACCTTGAAGAATCACTGTAAAGCCTCTTCCTCACTGCTGGTACAGCGTCTGTACAATCTTTACTCTGGAAATTGTTCTCTTGTTTTACAACACTGCAAGCAACAACAAAATGTGGGATTTAAGCTTTCCTATACATATGCAACATGACAACAACATACATAAGCAGCACAGATCTCCTCTTTTGTACTCATTTACAAATGCCTAAGGAGCATACATCAGATCTTATGTACTAATCACACATAGCTAAGGAGCACAGATCTTCTCTTTTGTACTCATTTACAAATGCCTAAGGAGCATACATCAGATCTTATGTACTAATCACACATAGCTAAGGAGCACAGATCTCCCCCTTTGTACTCATTTACAAATGCCTAAGGAGCATACATCAGATCTTATGTACTAATCACACATAGCTAAGGAGCACAGATCTCCCCCTTTGTACTCATTTACAAATGCCTAAGGAGCATACATCAGATCTTATGTACTAATCACACATGGCTAAGGAGCACATATCTCCCCTTTGTACTCATTTACAAATGCCTAAGGAGCATACATCAGATCTTATGTACTAATCACACATGGCTAAGGAGCACATATCTTATCTTCTGTAGTTATTTACACATACATAAGGAGCACAAATCTCCTTTTTCTATTTATTTAGACATGCCTAAGGAGCATGGATCAAATCTTATTGTACTAATCACACATGGCTAAGGAACACACATATTATCTTCTGTAGTTATTTACACATACATAAGGAGCACAAATCTCCTCTTTTGTATTAATTTAGACATGCCTAAGGAGCATGCATCAAATTTTATTGTACTAAGGGATTGGTCAGTTACTTCGGCCTAGGGGGGGTCGGCAGATTCTATTTTGCCAGCTGTAAATCTCAGTTGACCCACCCCCTATCAAATAAAAAAAGTGGGTGACCCCCCCCCCCCCCCCCACACACACACACACATTATATTTTAAAACTTAAAACATGCTGACCCCCCTAAAAAAACAAAGAAACATTAACAGTTTTGGCTCTGACATGATTACAAAATGTATTATATGTGCAATGAAAATATCATGGTTTGCCATAATTTTGACATAATTTTTAGCGTTTGCATTTAATGGACCTTGTAAGGGGAGGGGAAGCATAAAGCCAAAAAATGATCCGACTACAGAAAAGGCTGCAGGAAGGAGGGAAATCTATGCTGCTAAAGATAGTAAATAAAAACAAAGCTGTGGAGTACTCACTCAATAAACGCCCTTATATGATAGGAAAAGAGGATTTGAATCTAGGCGGTTTGAACTCTTTGAAAACTAAGTTGGATTTAAAATATCTTTCATATCTTATATACCAGGAAAGCTTTACACCCAAAGCACAGTCTGTGCTTATGAAAACAAAGGAAACTTTGATTTTTGCTTAAATTTGTGTTGGATTTTGGTATTTTACAGAGCAAATATGCATATTTAAAAGTTAAAAAAACAAAA